ATTGATTTTCCAATCCAAATATGATTTAATCTCAATATCAAAAATATCACTTTTATCCATTCATGAACTCCTTACATGAAGTAAAAGTATATTTTATCACAAGATTTCATAGTTAATCCCATCATCATGCCATCATTTTCATATCACATAACCATACACAATTTATTCTAAACTTGTATATCATGCTTCACTTCTCATATTAATAGTATTTTCATTTAGGCATTACTAATCATTAATAATCCATGAAAATCACATTTAATTACCTTAGGTAATCTTATGAAATTAACTCACTAATTATAAGCAATATAGTCAACCATCCTCACCTTATGAAGTGCTGCAATAGTTGCCTTTGTTAAGCCCTTCGACCAATCCCCGTTCTAAATCGATTGAACACAAAAACTGGACTGCTGGGCAAAAGCCGGGCGGCATTGTCCCGAAGCCGGGCAGCGTTCGTCTTCTGCAGTGTCGGACAGCTCCCTATATGTGGCGGTTTCCGGCGATTTCGACTCCTATCGATTCACCAACTCTTCTAAGTTAATTAACACCACTTTATATCAATATTCTACACTTATAAACGCGTAGAACATCATGTTTAATCCAACATATGATTTCTTTAAAAATCATACAATAAAAACTAGTTAGAAGAACTATTTGAGTTCTTACCTTGATTTCTAGCATTTTTGTGTTGGGTTTTCTTTCTTGATACTTCCTTCAAGCTATGGCTTGTGAGAGTCTATCCTAAGAGCTCTCCTCCTTGTGGTTGGTTCGAATGGAGCATCAAGATAGGGGGAGACATTTCATCTCAATCACTACCAAAATAATACATGGGATCGGGTCATAGGGGTGTGATTTTTGTCTCAATGAAACTTCCCCTCACACATCCGTATCTATCACACGCATCAACCCCACTCCCAATTAATTGTGGCCATTTGATGTGTAGAATACCCCAAGTGGGTTAGGAAGTCCCTCCCAATTATTCCTGCTATTTCTGTCAGTTTGGGTCAAAATAACACTTGGGTTGTCCAAATATTTTCCTCAACCTTAGTTGACATTTTATTGGGCTTCTATAATTATTACGATGACCTCACTAAATATTTAGTAGCCCATTCTCAATATTATGGACTCGATAAATAATTTAATTAATCACACATTAATTAAATAAATCATCCTGCACACGATTTTTGTTCGCTAGGAAATTCAAATACATCCGGGGGCGGTGTCACATATTTTCTACCAGAGAACAACTCAGTGACTTTGTGAAACCTTTTCAGCTTATCACAAACAATTTCAGCCAACTCCCATTCCTGTTGAGTAGGAATCGTGAATCTAAACTTCGGGTTTTGAGTTTTCAAGCTAGAAAAAAACATTTTTATATGGCAAAGCACTTTGAAGCATTGAAAATGTAGAGTTCCACATAGTTTTGCAATCAAGAATCAACTTTCTAGAACAATCAACTTTTGAAGCTCTAGCCTTATCCTCAAACTTTTGAACTCTTTTTGGTGTTTAGGTCCAAAACACTACACAATTACGAATTCTTTCAATCCCACCCCCAATCACATCTAAACCATCTTGGACAATTAGATTTAGTATATGAGCACTACATCGCATATGCAAAAAATCACCACCAACAAAAGACTATCACAGTCAAACTTCTCTTGCAAATTAAATATCCACCATTGCATCATTTGTAGTACAATTATCAAGAACAATAGAAGATATTTTCTCTGTGATATTATACATATTAAAGATATCCAAAAGAACTTGAGCAAGCATGTCGGCAGTATGCGGACAAGGCACATAAGCAAACCTATATTGCAGTCAAATAAAACACATTAACTATGTATTTAGAACACATTAATTATGTAGTTATATATGAATTACCATTTAATTAGAACTGAAAACATGCATCACACTCCACAAATCAAGAAAAAAAGAACTACTTAGAAGCATAAATATTAGAAGCTTACATACCTCAGTGTTTTATTCCGCAAAATCCATTGATGATCAACAAAGTGTGATGTTACAGCCATATAACCCTTCTTTTGGCTTGAAGCTGTCCACATATCGGTAGTGATTGCAATTCTTCCCACATGATCCTCAAATAACTTTTTCAAGTCTGTTTTCTCGCTTTCAAACATCTTCATTATATCACTCTTCAAAGTGTTATGACTAATCATTTTGAAATTTGGATTCAAGCTATTAACAAATCTCCTAAATCCAATATGTTCTACCATAGACAAGGGGTACTCATGAAGAATAACCATCTTACATAGCTCATGTCTTGACATTTCTTGACTAAACACATGATTCTATAGCTTTACGAAACCTTGTTTCTAGCTAACAAATAACAGTTGCTGGCGTGAAACAACTTTCATATACCTTTTAACACACCTTAGTTTAATGTGATCTCTCAGATGAGATGTCCCATTTTTACCGGTGGCTGGGTAAATGTTATTACAATGCAAGCATTTTGCTTTATGCATACCATTGACAGTCAACTTCTCAAAATGATTCCACACATCAGATTTACATTTAGAGACATGTACAGGCGCTGAAGCAATACCTTCTTCTGCATTTGGAACGTTAGATTCCATACCACCAGAAGAATTTTGAACAAGAGATCAGCTCGATGGAGCCTTGGAGCTTGCTATGGTATCTCCCACTTCCATGCATATAACATAACAACAAACATGGTTATAAGCCTAGCATAAACGGTGAAGTTTAATAATAGTAATAATATTGTTCTAAGAGGTTCAAATTAGCAGAAAATATCTAAGTACCTTGACTCCATTAAAATATCTTGCAGGAATAAAACTATGATATATGTCAATGCCTTCAAACATCTTAATTTAACTAATCAATAATTTAACTAATCCCTTCATACCCAAGCATACATATGAAGATGAGAAGATTTTAATACATTACTTCTGGAGACCTGGGGATTAACCCCACCTGCTCATGGTGCTTTTGGGGTTACTGGCACCTTTTTTTCACCCTACTATGAACATGAACTGTCTAACATTAATAAATGATGGTAAATTAGCAACTATAAGTCTAATAGCAGTAATAATATTTTTCTAAGATTGAAGTAAGAAGAGTTTGAGCTTGGTTGCAGGAAGAAGAGTTGGAATCGCAACTACAACACCCGCTGTTGACCTGTTGTAAAACATCATCCCGGCCAAACTTGTTTCATTTCATTAACCCTAACTCACCCAAATACATAGTCATATAGAGATAATTTGAAGTACCTTGAGACTGATGGAGTGGCGAAGTGCTGACTGTAGGTGGTCGTCGCCTGGAACAGATGATGGAGTGATGGGCGATGGCTGAACTGCTTAAGTCCCCTGAGGAAGTGAGGAATAGGGCTAACAAGATTACTCGATTAGGGATGGCCGGCTGGGCTCCTATTTTAGTCCAATTAGTCGCTACTCTGTAGACTGTAGTTAAGTAGTATCTATTAATATATTAATATTAATTATTATTAACAATATATATTATTAAATAGGTATTAATATATATATATATATATATATATATATATATATATATATATATATATATATATATATAATGAGCTTCCCAAGACCAAGACTTGGGAGCCCAACCCATATTTTCCCTATAAATACTCCTATTGGGAGCCATGTGAAGGGTTGGAAATTCGTTTATACATATCACTTCTCTCTCTAGCTCTCCCTTCTCTCTAGGATTTAATACATCATCAGTAAATTTTGATTTCACACGCTGAACTGTGTAATAATAAAAAAGTAAGGGTGACGTTACTTTTTTGCTGTATTGGCTAAAATTACCTGTAAGTAGGGTTGTAAACGAATCAAATAATTTGTGCTCGATTCACGATTCGAATTCGTGTAAGACGATTTGAATTCAGAAAATTAAAATACAAATACAAATAAGAATATTAAATTTGATTCGAGTTATTATCAAATACAAATAAGAATATCAGTGTATTCGATTCGAATATTAATCAAATATATTCGATTAATAATAATGGTAATATTAATGTCAATATTAATAATAATGGTAGTAATAACACTATAATAACTTTTAAAAGATAGCAATGCCTTAAAGTGTAACCCATATATTCACTTTTGCATACAAATTCCAAACCTATTTGTAAAAAATCAGAATATAAATACAAATACAAATCATTTTTTTTGGTTCAAACGTCTTTCAAATACAATACAAATAATTATGTATTCGATTTGAAGAATAAAATTAGAGTTGTTTGACTTTGATATATACAATTATCAACTTATTTCACACATAAGTATAATTTCTAATATGTGTGTGTTAGTGTTTATTTAAAAAAGTTTGAAATAGATTTATATTTATTAATCATAAAATTAATTCACTTTAGTATATTGTGTACCATCTAAAAATGCATTGATCCATTAAATTTAAATTCAAAAAACACATATTAAGTTGCATTTACAACATAAAAAATATGGAATATAAAAAAGTTATTTTAGAGTGATATTTGACTAAAATATGGAATACGTTTAGTTTCTTTAAATAAGATTAATCATTCCATGGCTACCATAATTGATCAATTAACCTAATCAATCGCTCTCTAGTTCCTTTGCATAACAAAGGTCAGGTCATTGGTAGCGGCAAGTCGACGACGGTGGTGGGAATCTAGTAAATTGGTCGTGGAAATGTGGGGGCAGCAGCGAACGGTGTTTGACGACGGTTTGGGGGCATGAACGTTCCAATCCTATGAGACTATGTTGAACACAATTTTGTTCAACCTCATTTGAGAGGGTTATTTTCACGCTCACCCCTATTTGCCTCCCATGTGGTAAGGTAATACTTCACAATGGGATAGGATGAGATGAAATGACACATGGGCCATGCCCCCTCCTTAGTGAGGGTGTACAAAATTACACTCGACTATGTTGGTCATGCACAAATCACATAGGGGTTATTAATTAATTCCCAATTACAAATAAAAAAGTCCTATTTGTAACATTTTAAAGTGGTAAGTCCTATTTTGTGAAAAAATCCTATGTTTTGGCAAGTGGATCTCCACTGTATTATACCGACCGAGTAGCAAACAATGGGGTAGCGATTAAATTAATGGATCCTACTCTGGAATAGCATGTTGCGGCGTCTACCGTACAGGTCATCCATGTTAAGACAGAGCAACACACACAATCCACAGTTTTGCTGTAATGAGAGCCGTTGACTGAACAAATCTACTCTCTTCACAAACAGCCGATGCACTCTGAATGAGAGATATCGCGCAGGAGAAGCCGAGAAGGAAAGCTTCTTCAGTATTCTAGCGTTCCGGCGCTAAGGTGTTGATGGCTGAATCTGGGCCCGAGGAATGAAGATAACCGGCGGCAAGATTGAGCTCCCTGCTACCTCTTATTCCAAATCGCCGAACCCATCCGCAGAACCCGATCTCTTACAGAGACATCCCAGCTCTCGCAGACTGCCTCGCCGGAAAATCAAGAGCTCCGGCGCCGGTGTGCGGTTGCGGAAGGATATTAGCGGAGCTTCTGCTGTCAGGAGGAGCAGGCCACAGACTCCTCTGCTTCGGTGGAAGCTCGATGAGGATGTAGGGGTCAGTAGTGGGTATGATGTACCAGAGGACAGCCTCGATCGGAAATGCCATCAGAAAACTATAGCTCCACTATCGGCCAGAAAGCTCGCTGCCGGAATCTGGCGGCTGCAGCTGCCCGAAGTGCCGCCTAACGGAGAAAATCTAGGGTTCCAGGTAATTGCGCGATTAAAAAGCTTTATGTTATTTAAACGTCTAAAAAGGAATTTTCCATTCTATACCCCTAAACCTTACTTTTGCCCAAATCTTTTGCTCGCTTCCACTGGTTTCCCATTTAAATTATTAAGTTTGAGATGATGATTAAAGTAGTAATGATTCTGTCATGCCCAAAACTCATAAGTTATGGTTGAGGTTGACTTGCAGTGTTTTCAAATGAAATCCTGCGTGGTATGAGATTTGGGTGATAGGTACTCACTCAAAGGCCTTAGGGTGTGCTTGGTTGGGAGAGGTAGTTGGCACAATGATCACTGCCATTCAGAGCCGTCTAATGAATTTAGAGGCCCCGGTTCAAATGGCAAATCGAGGCCCCTAAAACAAGAATAAATACAAAATTTAACAATGAAATAAAAATAGACTAGATAGTTCAATGAAATTTAAGTTTTATGATGATTAAACTACACAACTTAGATAATCTAATATTACATACTGAACTTTTGGAGGCCCCCTGCAAGACTGGCCCCCGGTGTCAAACACATATTGCACCTCCTAAAAGACGGCCTTGCTGCCATTTTCATTTGGGGCTTCCTTTTCATCTCGCACTTTGTTTTTCTTCTATACAGGGAGCAGTTGGTCATGCCGGGACCCCTTTTTGTAGTCACCATCACATCAAAGCTCAAGATTCTCAAGTCTCTGAATTAGTAGGGAGTCCTCGTTCTGTTTCTGGCCCAAGAGATGGAGCATTTCATCAAGTACGAACTTCTTTTGTATTCTTCTAATTCACAATCATAATTAAGTTTTGTGCACACAGAGTTGAGGATATCATGTCTATAATTTACACATTTATATTGCTAGAAATCCATACTGGCGATGCCTAAGAGTCAGCATAAATAAAACTCATATAACAATGAAACAATACTAGTAGTAAATCCGAATTTGGAATTTGAGATATAAGCACATCAAATGTTTTTTTATCATGAACATATAAGCACAATGGAAAAACACATTGCTTGTAATCAAACATACTAGTAAGGGCATCACCATCCATGAGATTATTAAGTGATTATTCTAGTGACATGGCATATTATTTTGGGGAGCATGGTTGAGTGAGAGAGATTATTTGACATGATTAATTGATAGAATAATCTGAGATCAAAATATGAAACTGGATTATTTTGAGATTATTTGTGAAGTTAGAGTTAATTAGTTAATAAATGACCCGCAAAAGATTAGATTATTTCGGGATGATGGTTGAAGGTAATTTAGAGGGGACAAGATTATTTCTAAAACAATTATGTGGCAAATATTAAAAGGTAAGAATCACAAAAAATCAGATTATGTTAGAAGCATGAGTGTGGATGCTCTAATAAATGATAACTCATAATAATGAACTAAAGCGTTCAGCCTGCCAAGCGCCAGCCAGGCCGACCTACTAGGCTGGAAGAGCAATAGTCAGACAATCAATGTGCTGATTAATTATGTAGTCAATTCTATATTAATGTTGTAATAATTAGTCATTATTGTGCATTTGTGCTCAGCAATTACCTTTTGTAAACATCTATAAAAGGCAAATGCAATTCAAATGATAGACATGTTGTTCCCGGCAACAAAAACCCTTAGGAACTTTCCATTTCCTTACTTCTTAAGAGTATAAGACATTCGTAAAAAATGAATATCAACGAATATCTAACATATATTTCTTGAGTTTTAGCCTATCTTTTATTTCGTCCCAAGTTTTATATCCTTCAAACTTTCTTTTATGTTTTCCTTTATTTTTTATTTACCTAGTATTTTTTGGTTTCAAATGGACCCTTGGGGTAGGCTTGGATCACATAAAATGCCAGGAAAAAGAAATAAAAGGTCAAATGTATTTTCATGTTTGTCTTTACCATGGAATCTTAGATATGATTAGAGTTTTTTGAATTTTATTCATATAGCCGTTGGAATGTAGCCGTTGGAATCTAAAGTATTTTTCAGGTTCCAACAGGCCCTACAATTCCAGGGAAAGCAAGTTTATTTTCCTAAGACAGTGTTACTTACAACTCAACCTTATTTTTTTCACTAATTCATGCATCCCAACTTCTTTAGGTTGAGCCATCATTCCATCTTTCCAACACGGCAATGGAGGGAGCCACAAAGTGGGATCCCATCAGCTGGAAATCAGCCGAAGGTGGATCAAAACATATCCATGGCCACCAACAAAAAGCCCACACTCCAACCAGAGTGATGTCTCTTCTTGAGGAAGAGCTAAAGCAGGCTCGGGCCCGCATACAAGAACTTGAGACAGAGCAGCATTCATACAAGAAGAAGATTGAGCAGTTCTTGAAGAAAGTCAGTGAAGAAAGGGCCATTTGGCGAAGTAGAGAGCACGAGAAGATCCGAACAATCTTGGACGACGCGAAAGCCGAGTTGACGCGAGAGAGAAAAACCCGACAAAGGGTTGAAATCGTCAACTCCAAACTGGTCAATGAACTGGCTGATGCCAAGGTAACTGCAAAACGGTACATGCAGGAATACGAGAAGGAAAGGAAGACGAGGGAGTTGATAGAGGAAGTGTGTGATGAACTAGCAAAAGAAATTGGAGAAGATAAAGCCGAAGTAGAAGTGTTGAAGAGAGAATCTGAAAGACTTCATGAGGAAGTTGATGAAGAAAGAAGGATGTTACAAATGGCTGAGGTTTGGCGTGAGGAACGCGTTCAGATGAAGCTAATTGATGCAAAGGTGACGCTCGAAGAGAAGTATTCTCAGATGAACAGACTAATTGCGGATTTAGAGTCCTTCTTGTGTTCTAAAGGCGTTATTAACCCTACAGATATGGAGGAGATGAAAAAGATAGCAGTGTCTGTTAATATTCACGACATTAAAGAATTCACATATGAGCCACCACATCCAGATGACATTTTCTCTGTTTTTGAAGAAAATACGTTTTCAGATGAAAAACTAAATTCGCAGAGACACCATAATCAGAAAGCTTACACCAACCAGAGTGACGGTTATGGAGGAGGAGAAGATGGAGGAAGTGAGTGGGAAACTGTGAGCAACATGTCAAGGAGTGGGGCAGGATCCACACCATTAACAGATATTAGTGAAGTCTGCTCAACACCAGCTCAGCAAATGAAGAAGAGGTCTACTGTGTTTAGGAGGGGCACACGTCCTAACGAGGGAAGGTACATGAGTGGAGGTGCGGTTGTGATGTCACCTGATAGGGAGTGGGGAAAAGAAGATGATGCCAGCACCTCCAATTCTGTGGGGTCGGGGAATCCTCATCAAATAAATAAAGGTATGAAGAAAGGAGGGTGCATTGAGTGGCCAAGGAATTCGACACAGAAGAACAGTTTGAAGTCGAAGCTGTTGGAGGCTAGAACAGAGAGCCAGAAGATCCAGCTACGTCATGTACTGAAACAAAAGATTTAGAGAGAGTTCAATGTGTGAAACCCACCCACCCTTTGTCGCCAAGAGACGAGTAAGTATTATTCAAAGGGAAAGAGAAGCATGTATTTCTTTTTCGTTTTCTTTTCCTTCTGCTCTTTCAAACTACGTGGTGAATCGAATATTTATGTATCCAATGAATGAACATTAATTTCAATGATTCATGAAGTCTTCAGATTAATTCATTTTCTGTGAATTAAGGTTCCCTTTTCGGTGTTTAAGTTGCTGAAAAACGAATACAATGTTGTTACGGTTCCACTTTAAACTCGGTTGCTCCTCAAAATATACTAGAGGAGAACAGGGTACCCAGGTCAACTGCCGAAGTGGAGTTGCACATTATTTGGCAATCAGATGGTTCATTTAATACTATGTAAATGATGAACGAAGAAGATGAAACCTACACTAAAGACTAAAGATGATAAAACTGAATCTAACAAATGCTTGTTGTCTCTTTAAGACAAATTTGCTTGCACAACAATTGTCTCCCACGGTATAACAACTTTCGTTCTTGAAGGACACCGCTAAATGAAATGATGCACTGACAGATGAGCGTGTAATCAAGATGTCAAGATCAAAAGTAGTCTTTGGGAATAAAATCATAAATAGTGCTCTGACCATGAGATATTAATCACAAAAGGCATGTATTAGAGAAAAGTGTCAACCTTTCATAAAAAGGTTTATTCAAATTTGAGCATTCAAAAAGTATATTTGTCACAACATTTTAAATCACGCCGGCCAATACTACACGCACCCGAACTTAAGACTTGACCTGACCAGACTGACAATTGCATCGACGCGCGTGAATTGTAATTTCACGTTTTCGCCATGCATGTACCCTTCTTACAAAATTTGGGCACCTTACGACACACATGTATCCCCTTTCTTACAAAAATCGGCTACCCCTTAAGGTCCTACCATTCACTACACGGAGCATAAACCTGGTCAATCATGTCTGGGAATAAGATGTTTGGTATCATTGCGGTGGATAACATCACGAAATAGATTGAGGCCAAGATGTTCATTAGCATCACACATCTACAATGTAATAAATTCATATGAAAGAACATGTTTTGTAGGTTCGGGATTCCCTACAAATCATCTCTGACAAAGGAAAGCAGTTTGACCACGAGACATTCTCATTGTTCTGTGCAGAGTGGGGTGTGGAGTCTATCCTGACGGCGGTAAGCTACCCTCAAGAAAATGGACAACTGGAGAACACCAATTGAATTGTTGTCGATGGGTTGTAGAAGAAGTTGGAAGCCCTTGTGGCCGCTTGGATTGAGGAGTTGAACAATATACACGGGCCTTTAGGATGACCTTGATGAAGGTGACCGAGGAGACCCTTTTTGCCTTTGATGTGACTTTGAAGCAAGGGTGCCATTCAAGGCTGCGGTCTTGTTTTGTCGGGTGGAAGAGTTCGATCTAGTTAGCAATGAGGAAGGCTTCGAGCCAAATCCACTTTGTTGATGAGAGAAGGGTCTGAGCCTTACCTTCATCAAGACCAAAACTATTGATGCCAAGCCGACACGTACCATGATAGCCGAGCTCGGTCCTCGAGCTTTGATGTCGACGACCACATCTTGATATATAAGAAAACATGCATGCCAACAGAATGGGAAGGTCCCTACGTGATCAACGTTGTGTTTAACCTTGGACGTACAAGATGAAGACCATGACAAGTCATATAGTAGAGCATGTATGGATTACTGAGTACCTGCTAAAGTTTTATCAATAAGTTTATTCCTGTATTTTGATTTTTGAGCATGGGATTACAGCCTCAACATGGTCCTCCCACATTATGAAAATATTACTACTTACATACGAAATTGTATAATCAAAGGAGGTGCGAGTTCAGTTGGCAATGAAGTGTGGTGGCATGAAAAGATTTTATGCCCCCCCTCGGTGTTTGACCGACCTTGGGTTGGCTCTCGAATAAAAAATAATTAAGTGACCTTTTCAAATTATTTTCAAACTAAAGAGCTAACCGCAACGGTTGAGGCGTCAATAAAGTTGACCGGCCTCTCCGGGTCATGATGTTCGGGATGCCGACATCTGGTTCCTTCCCATAACTCAATATTCGACATTGCTAGCCATGCAGCACCCACTCTTGCTGACCTCAGGTCAATGGTGTAGGCGCGTTCTGGTTTACCGTGGATGATCTTTTTACGTTGTTTTGCTGACCTCGACTTACAAGAATAATAAAACTACTCTTCACATCTGGGACAAATCGGACGGGTCGAGGCAAAAGTAGGACTTACTCTCGGGTAATGAACATTCAGGATGTCAACCTAAGGTCCTTCTTGTATGGTATGATGTCTGACCTTGCTAGCCAAACAAGTCGCACACACGCTGGTTCCATATTAGTAGTGAACATGTCAATTCTATATGATTGGGAAGAGCACAAACAAGCTAAATCACTCCCTCTTTATTGAGCTATCACTCATTAAGGGAGTGAGGGACTCATGATGGTCCAGAGTTTAAAAAGCTTGAGCCCAGTGACTTGGATCTGCAAGTCTAGACCCACGATCCAAACCAATAGTCCAAGCTCGAGATTAGAGTCTCACCAAGCTAGCCTGACCGAACAGTGAGCATAGCTAAGAGTCGTCCATCGGCGTGACAGGGAGCTGACCTACTAGCTCGGTAGAGAGCCATCCACCAACCTGACAAGGATCCGACCTACCAGTCCAACCAGGAGCTATCCATCAATCCAATAGGGAACCGTCTACAACCCGTCAAGGAGCTTCAGCCCAGCAAGGGGGGTTCGTCAATTGACCTATAATGGAGACCTCAGCCCTAAAGAGTAACGGGCGATACAATTACTGTGTTGCATAATACAGAAGCTGATATTGTATTAATGTAATAGTTAATCCCACACCCAATGTCAGTATAATAGTGATTAATAGTGGTAAACTTTGTAAATGCTTATAACATTCCAGTACGTTCAATGATGATGATACACTATTTTTGAAGCTTTATTTCCTATTTAAGTGTTGTAAAACTTACTCATAATAAGAGATAAAAGACAAATACTCTCTCCGTCCCAAAGTGAGTTGTAAAATTGATTTTTTTGAATCAAACAAACTCATTTTATTCACTTAATTAGATTTCAATTCTTAATTATTTTTTAATTTGAATTTTGTAGCTATATAGAAATTTGATTTTCTTACAAAAATATTACGTAGTATTAAAATAAAACTTATTTACACAAATTTAATTATTAGTTAATATAATGTAGTGTTATAATAACTTAAGTTTAAAATTGAAGATAAATTAGTATAATTTTATTACTACTCTAAAAATTATAGTAGTGTTAATCACATTTTTGTAAGTAGTCTTTATTTTAGTATGTAAATTTATAGAAATTATTTCTAGAAATTTTAATGCAGTATCATAAATTTTACGGAGTAATTATTAAGATTGAATTAATAATTAATAGGGATGATTTAAGCAAAACAATTTGAATGAAGCCGTAAATCTTCGCAAATTATACGGTACATCCGGGTGTACATATACACCCGGTATTTTTGCAATTTCCTGCAACTTCAAGCCTTTTGATTCTTCTTCTGCCGCCATCCTTCCTTTTATTTCTTTTCCAGCTGCCCCGTTCCTTTTCTTTCTTTTCCAACCGTCATTCTATTTGATCTTTCCTGCTAGTTGTTTTACATTTTGTGTTTTATCTTTTTGATTTTTTTTTGTTTCTTTTAGGTTAGTTAGTTTACTTTCTTTTCTTTTATCTTTTTTCTTTTATTCTTTTCGTTTCTTTCTTTTCTTGTTTCCTTCTTTCTTTTTCTTTATACTCCGTATATTAATACCGAGCACCTTAGAAATGAGCTTTACTTTAAACTCAAATAAATAAAATGTCTAAAAAGAATGGACATACACAAATTAGCTTTTGAATTTTTGAAAACTCATTTTATAAGTTATGATGTCCATTTAGTACTCAATAACGTAGGTTTGATGCCCACTGAAAATGTCTTGATGCTCAACAAACAAAACTTACAATTTTTATATCAATGCTCATCTTATAAGTTATATATGCTCATTTGTATAGGTCTGATGCTCATTAAAAATTCATTAATGCTCATTTAACATTACGATTTTATAAGGTTTGATTTCATTTTTTGTTCATTTTCATTTACCCCAATGCCGCAAAGGCTCCCACCTACGGTGGGGTAAGGATGTACGCAGTCTTACCCTTGTACTAAAGCACTGAGAGACTGTTTCCGGATGACCCATAATGGAAATCGCGTCCAAGATTGCATGGACTGAATGCTGCTCCATAACAAAGAAGCGCAGACAGTTATGTCAAACTAACAAACTTTACGATTTTCATATCAATTAACATTTTGTAAGTTACGTATGCTCATTTTGTATTGATGTTATGCTCATTTTAAAATGTCATATCAATGCATATTTCAAAAGTATCATATTACACTAAATTCACATATTGAAATTCATAAGAGTGTATTATAAATATAATTTAATAAGTTTTTATAAAAGAAAAAATAAGAAAAAGAACAAAAAATTAGAAGATATGAAATTGAGACCGTGTTACTCATTATTAGCCTCGTAATACTCAATAAAATAGGTTGGATGCTCACTAAACGTACAATATTACTCAATTAGCCGAAGCCGTGAATTTTCGTTTAAATTACAAATATGACACCGAATTTTTTTTGAGCTGTATTAGTGATTGAGCCTCTTTACTATTTGGACCTGGTGCACTATATACGAACTCTGTAAATCTTACGGTGCAAGATTTGCGTGTAAAGGGATTTGAAAACCAACATATAAATTCAGGGCGTGTTTCTCGCCAGGAAATAAGCCCATCTGTAACGCAAATCAATTCTCGCCCGTCTGGTTAGATTAGATCTTCAAACCGCTTCCTCGGGGCCATTTTTTATTTTTCCTTGTGCTTCATCAGAAATCAACTCCTTCCAGCTGCAGTTCTTTGTGTCCGCAGAAGAAATTATTTTCTCCTTTTTCTCTAAATTCAAACCACTGAAAGTATAATCGTCGCCAACTGTTTGGATACAAGGTCAGCACGTCATTTCCTATCGATTCGTTTTTTCTTTAAGAAAAAAGTTCAATCATTTTCCTTGTAAAAGTAGTGGTTATTTAGATATAGAATAATCTATTACGGAGTAGGTGTTTTTCCTTGATGAACACACGAGTGAGGAAAAGGTTGTTTCTCTCAGGTGCAAGTTCTATGGAAGGCATT